TTAACTTCGTGACGTCATGACGAGATTAGCTTAGATTAACTCTTTCATCAGACTCTGATGTTATTGCCTCCACCGGGGCAAACGGATTGACGACAACAACCACCACAGTTGACGACAACAACCACCACAGTTGTGATCCAGTTCTTTGTTTTACCTGCAATTACAGTCTCCGGTCCACACAAAATACAGTCCAATTTGACAGCTATTTTTAGAGTTAATCACCGCAAAGTCAACATTCGCGAGTTGTCATGAAGTTGTTTTCGCTGTCCGTTAAATACTTAATGAATTTGTTTTCCAGCGAATTATTCAGTTAGGGCTGGTAGAAGTACAGGTAGTAACTTTCTCTTTAATAGTTTACCGTCATATTCATCACATAATGTCACCATTGTTTTCCAACAAATACAGTTACCTTTGATGTCAAGTGACCCCTGTTGTCTACTACATAAAGTGACCCTGTTGACCTCTACATAAAGTGACCCTGTTGTCAACTACATAAAGTGACCCATGTTGTCCACTACATAAAGTGACCCCTGTTGACCACTATATTAAGTGACCCATGTTGACCACTACATAAGGAGACCCCTGTTGTCCCACTACATAAAGTGACCCCTGTAGTGCAATAGATAAAGTGACCCATGATGTCCACTACATAAAGTGACCCCTGTAGTGCAATACATACATAAAGGAACCCATGTTGTCCACTATGTAAAGTGGAATTACCGACCAACACACCCTATCACAACGCCCAACCAACGAACGACCAACATCGATGAGGTTTAACACTCCATTTTTTTTAAGCTCACTCTACGCACTAAATTAAAAGTCAACAGCTCTCTTCTATTGCAGAGCTAGATCAGCCAAACCTTCTCCGGCCAATGAAAGAAAACGCTACTCCGCTACTACTAGTACTATTACAGTCACTGATTCTGAACAGCAAGGGAGGTGACAATGCTAAGCCTTAACAAGGGAGACAAGCATGGCAACCCTAGCATAAAACCCACTGGAAAATGCCAATTACCTTCTACCCACATAGTTTAACTTGCTACAATTGTGGCAATATACTTGATAATATATTAAACATAATATAAAATTTCCTTAGATTATAAGACAATTTGACAAGAGTTTTGACATTTCAAACAAAGACAATAAGATACTTCGGGTAAAATATATTCAATAATCAAGAAACATCAAGATACAATAATATTGTAACAATCGTAAACATTTGTTTTTAGGTTACATCATTCGTTTAAATAAAAAAAAAATAAATAAATAAATAAATAAAAAAAAAAAAAAAAATCATTCGTTTAAATACCCTTTCATTTATAAAAAATTAACAGTTTTATGCACAAGTAAAAATTATTCTTTTAATTCAAAATTGATTTACAATTTAAGTGCAATGTATCAAACACACAGCATCAAAACATGTTTGAGCAAACATAATAAATATAGTCTTGACAATTATTTTTTATAAAAATAGATATATCTTATGTTGTGAAAGCGCACTTAATTTTTTAATATCCAATTAATTGAAATGTAATAAAACATTTATTTCATTGTTAATATATAAACAAGGTAATTAAAAAGTCTAGTGACAATTTTAGTGCAATTTCCTTATGTTATCTAAAAATAGCTCTGTTGTAGCGTAAATCAAGAGCGGGGTTAGTAAAACCATTGGTTAGTTAATTAGTTATTAAAACGTTTTTTATTAAAAAAAAAATTCAGTATTTTACATGTTTTATTTACAATAGAGTTACATGACTAAAAACCATTGCGCGCCTACCTACTGAACGTGATGACGCAGCCATTGAACGTGATGGCGCAGCTATTGAACTTGATGACGCGTGTGGTGTGGTTGGATAAAAATGCCTACTAATTCGGTCCAAATATTAATTAATTTAAAAAAAAATTTGTGACCGAACGAAAGGATATTTTTGAAAACTTTCTTCGGCAATATTGTTCTAAATTATGGCAGGAATCGATTGGTACATGTTTCAAGTAGCTAAGTGGTCTGGTTGCCGAGATATGGGCCAAAAACTGCATTTTTTCAAGGTTTTCTGGCTTTTCCGGGAAATCCATGAAAGAAACCCGGAATTTTTTTGGCCTATGTTCATCCTCGTAACTTGCTTAACATAATTGCTTTGGAACTAGTCCTCGATATTGCTTCGTTGAGGAGGAGATACGACTTAAAGCTGCGGACACACATTCATCCATCCAGAAATGACGGGTTAATAAACGCAATTCTCCAGAATGGAAATTGCGCTAAAAAAACTTATTAATACTAATAGTTTCGCTGTCTGTCTATCTATCTATCTATCTATCTGACAAGAACGCTGTAGAGAAAACACAAGCAAAATAAAAACATGCACAGTAATTCGAAAAACGAAGTATGACGCGGTCACATTTAGCATAGCGTAGAAAATAATCTCAAGCACACAGTGTTCACACAGTCATATGACGTCATTGATTATCGAGTAAACATTGAAAAAAAAAGGAAATAATTTTGTCTAATCTAAATGGTTTGCGTGAAGAGTTTCTTGCATACAATTCTTCGGGTAGGGGCGAAGCCCCACCCCCCGCGTAAGAACGTCTGAGCCCCCCCCCCCCCCTCCCCAACTCAAAAGAAATTTCTTCATCGATACTCTATAATAAAATTACCGCCTAATTAATGTGTCTAATCTAAAAAGTGGTTTTCTTGCAATTTCTTCAATGCAATTCTTCGGGTAGTGGCTAAGCGCGACACCAGTGTTTCTTTCAGACTTTTTCCTCCCCGGAGAGGGGTGGGGGTACTTGAAATTTTCGGGGGCGGGTGTAGAATTTTCGGGGAGGGGGCGGACACTGGATAAAGTATATAATTATATTTGAATGGGACGGTAGACATGTTTTTTTAGAGGGGGGTGGGTGGGGGGTGGGGGGTGGTGTGTGTGGGGGGGGGGTGAGTGGGGGGGGTGGTTTTAATTTAGACTTTTTCCTCCCCGGAGAGGGGTGGGGGTACTTGAAATTTTCGGGGGCGGGTGTAGAATTTTCTGGGAGGGGGCGGACACTGGAAAAAGTATATAATTATATTTCGTTGAATGGGACGGTAGACATGTTTTTTTTTGGGGGGGGGGGGGGGGGTGGGGGTGGGGGGTGGGGGTGGGGGGTGGTGTGTGGGGGGGTGGGTTGGTTTTAGTTTAGAGAAAAGAGACAGCACTATCAGCCTAGCGCCCGTTGTACCCTTCCTCAACGGGCCATTTTTCTCGTCTCTAAATAAATGTCTAAAAATATTCTTTTTAAAATACATTTTTTCATACAGATTTTGTTTTTAAAAAGTATGTGGTATACTTTTAATTATGATGCATGATTTTTCATTTTTCTAAGCAGCTTTTTTAACCATTTGGAAATGGCTTTATACTTATAGTGTAAAGTAAACAGAAAACATATTAGACATTTTAAAAACAGTCATAACTTCATAAGAACTTTCATGAACAAGTGGCTCATTGTTTTATTAATATTGGAAAATCATGCAGTTTGAGCTCATTTAGGAAATGTTAACTAGATCTAACACTCTTTTTATAATGTTATTAAAATTATTATTGAAAAAAAATCATTCGTTTTATGAAGCAAATTATTTTGTTTGCTCCAAACAGCGGATCAACTTGTTGCGTATACGCACGTTAAATAGGGGGAGGGGGTGGGGCAAAGATTAAGATGAAATTTCGCTTTTTTTAAATTTCGTATTATATTCTATTAGCTATTCTCTCTCTCTCTCTCTCTCTCTCTCTCTCTCTCTCTCTCTCTCTTTCCCTCTCTCTCTCTCTCTCTCTCTCTCTCTCTCTCTCTCATAGCGTCATTACCAGCTCTTATTTTCGATCAATAGCCAGACAGACTAGAACAGGGTTAAGAATCGAGCAACTCTCTCACCCATATTACCAGCAAAACTCGAGGGTTTAAGTCAGACTTTTGCTTCCTCCCCCTGTGTATTGTACAACCTGGTTTGGTCATGAGGGCCCGGTTGGTCAGGGGGAGGACCTACTGTGATCCCAGCATACGTACTAATGACTTTTTAGTTTAGTCTATCGCTAGACCACGCCGTATCCCATTCAATCAGTCGGTTTTCTATTTTTCTGTGTGCGCAAATTTCTGTTTTGCGCTTTTTTCTGTTGCGAACTTTTTTTTGCGCTTTTTTCTGTTTGCGCTTTTTTTCGTTGCGCATCTTTCTGGTCACCCAATCAGCCAATTTCGTCTAGTCCACTAGCACCATGTGCAGGCTCTACCTCGTTTTACTTTAAGTGAGAGGACTTTTAATATACAGCTAATTTTCTGTCTTCTTCGTTCTTATTTGTAATATATTGGGGGAGGTGGGGGGATTCTCCAACACAATTACGCCAGATGACCACGACTTCAACTTGCTTTCCTTTATAAATTTGTTTCCATAGCCTTGTCTCCTAGATGGGTTGCTGTCTCCAAATAACATCCTTGTCTGATCAGTGTTTCTTTAAGGTATCTATTCGGAAGGGGGGTGGGAGGGGGGGGGGTGGAGCCTCCCCGAAGCACGTCTACCCCTCCCAAACAAAATATAATTTATAATTTATAAAGTGTCTTTTACAAGTCTCTCTCTCTCTCGCTCTCACCCCCCCCCCCCCCCCCCCCCAATGGAGAATAAAGTCTGAAAGAAACACTGCATCTGACAGGGGTTCGATCTCACGAGCTTTTGGTGTTGGCAGCAATTATCACTCTGGCCTCACTACGCCGTCCCGTGTACACTCATAGCCGTGGTAGACGAGCCTGATGTATACATGCAGCCCACACTACGAACACAGGCTAGGCAACTTGTTGCAGGCTATAGGCTATGTTTTTTAATTGTGGACTACGGACCTAATCCAAGTCCCAGAAAATATAACGATGGTAAGAAATTATCTATCTGTATCCACAGTATCGGTGATAACGATACTTTAACCCCGCGAATATAAAGTCTAATGAATTGGGTACGGCTAATCGCTAAGACCGGAGCACCCCCTTACCTTTTTGACATACTGGGCGGCGTCCTCCTCCCTGTACACCTCGGCGGACACGGCGCCCCTCCTGACCCGTTTGTTCATGGCGGGGTGCATGTGTGGGGGGGTGCTGGCCACGTCATCGTCCTTCTCATCGCTGGGAGGGGTGGCCGACTTGCTCTTCTCTTTAGCAGCCTGCTCCTGTAAGGACAAGAGGTTATTGTGTTAGAGTCTTTATCTAGCATAGAACAACAAGAGATTGTTCAGTTAGGACAAAGTTTTTTATCTAACCTAGAATAAGATATTGTACTGTTAGAACCAAGTTTTTATCAAACAAACCACAACAAGGTATTGTTGTGTAAAAAACAGGATTCTTATCTGGACTAAAACATCGAGATATTGCTCTGTTAGAGAAAAGTTTGATAGCATAAAGCAACGAGACATTGTTCTGTTAATATCAATTTTTCATCTAGCTAAGAACAAAGAAAAGAAAAATTTTCTTAAAATCTAGTTTAGCTCCAGCCTACTTCCAGAATAATTAGAAACAAATCTATTAACAATAATAATAAAAACAATCAATGAGAACAGCAAATCGAAGACAAGTAAATGTAATCTAATCAATGGCTGAGTCAACTTAGTTTTAACCAAGTTTATGTAAATTCAACAAATTGTACTAAAATTTAAAAAAACATCATTTATAAACAACAATTGCATATCATTTACTTGAATGGTATTTAATGCTGAGTAATTAAAACATTGTTAAGACCAATGAAAAAATGTCCACGTCGGTTTTATATTTGTGAAGAATTCGTGTGATGGAAATGGGGAAACAACTCGTTCGAAAGACTAGAACTTTTCTATATCGGGGTTTTCTCCCTTGGTATGCTAAAATTTAAATGTGGTCATAATTCTTTTTTTTTAACTGAATAAACTCTGCTCAAGCTAGAAATCTACAGAGTAATATAAAGATTTTCTTTTACATAGCAAAACTAAAAATTAATCTTAAATTTGTATTTTTCCATCACAAATTAATTGATCACATTTAATTATTTTTGAAAGTCCTCATATAATCAAGCAATACGAATGATGTTTTTTGTTTTGATTTAACAGGATCTTAAAAACAGTTTTCTCAACAAACTTGAGTCTATATCAGCGGACCAAGAAAATCGTGGCCTCAAATTTAATTTCGGCTAGAAAACAAATTAAACTGCACAAAAATTAAAGTACGAGCAAACACACACACACACACACACATACATACATACACACACACGTACAAACACGCACACACAACCACACACATTTAATATTAGGAAAAAAAAACATTTGGCCCAAGTGTAATTAAAGAAAATCGAAAACCTTAACATGCGTTGATCAGGGGCTGTTTTTTTTTTAATTAATTATTTCCCAGCTCAAGTTTAATGAAGGGGAAAACGATCACAAGCGAGAGAGGGAAAGAAACGCTGGGGGGGGGGGAACAACAGATCAGAGTCAATCAAGTGTGACCGCACGCGATTTATCACCGTGTCGATCATGGCGTGATATGTCATATATCACGTGACGCCCGTAGTTTATTTTAGAAGCAGGCTCGTCAAGGCAACAGAAACTATTTGCGTTCGAAAATTGTAATATTTTTAATACACGTAGCACGATCTCTACGTATTTAACAATAATAGTGGTAATAAAATTACACAGCTATAGGTTTGGTATTGATTTGCAAGAATTATCATTATATAAATATATATCTTTATATTAATATATATCATTATATAAATGAAACTAGCGTTGCATGCGGGTTTTGCGTGCATTAAAAAAGTTCAAAATCGATACATTTTTTTTTAGCTTCTTTCAGGAACATATTAATCACTCAAGAGAAAGTTATTTCTAATCCATCCATCCGTGCGAGTTAACTCCCCTCTTGAAAAAAATTATTCTCTCCCCTTGACATATCCATTAAGGTGACACCAAGCAAACGGGCCACCCCCCCCCCCCCCCCTGTGCAAGCTCACACAGCGGGACATGCCAATACAGCTCTCGCCCCGTCGCTCGGTGCGTGCTAACATTGCAGCATTCGTCAGACATGAGTTGTACCAGACATGCATCGGTCAACAGTTGACGGTCCTGTTAGCTTGACCTTAATATCACGTGATTTTTTTTTTGTTTCAAACACTTTTGCTATTTTAATTGGCATAACCTACGTTTAGTAATGCATGTGGATGACTAGTAATATATATATATATATATATATATATATATATATATATATATATATATATATATATATATATATATATATATATGACTAAGTACGTAGGTGTAGGATTTAAATGTGTGTATGTATATGTGTGTGTATATATACTTATATAAATACATGTATATATAACATTTTTACATTATATATATATATATATATATATATATATATATATATATATATATATATACGTTTGTGTGAGTGTGTATGTAGGTGTAGGATTTTACTGTAGGTGATTATTGATAAGATATATTGATTTTGCAGTACGTCAGTAGATAACATCTCTAATGATGTAGAGGGTAAAAAAACATGTTTATCCTAGACGGTATGAAATCCCTCCCCCCACCCACAGACCTATTGAGTTGTTATGGTACAAGCAGGGGCTCTAATAGGGCTAATCGAAGACACAGAACAGGGTTGTCTGACGTAGACACTAATAAGTCTTGGGACAACAGCAACGTGCAAGTAACGATTCGAAAAGAAACTGTATACGTCTAAATACTTGTGTTTTTTTTTTTTATTCCTGTACTCTGGGGTTATGGGAATCCGGATCTATGTATCAAGTTATCGCATGAAATGGTATACCTTTTGTGTGTGTATGCAGTGACACACAGTTCAGATTTTTATTTGTAACATTTATTTTCAAGCTCTGGTGTAGAGTATTACATGTTGACTATAAATATTTTTGAACGTTACACAATTGTAAGAGTAATCATGTTAGTTGACGCACGCACACACATACACACACGCACGCACACAAACACACACACACACACGGACGCACGCACACACACACAAGACAAGCTTTTATAGCAGCTGTTGTTTCAGGACTATACCCCCTACGGTACATTCAACAGGCGAGCAATTTAAAAATTTCAGCTAAGCTATGTCTTTTAGTTTTTTTTTGTACCAATAGGATAATCACAGACCGAGACGTGTACAACTGGAAATGGGTCACAGAGAGGGGAGAAAGAGAGAGATAGAGAGAGTGACAGAGAGAGAGATAGAGAGAGACAGATTGACAGAGAGATAGACAGAGAGAGATAGACAGAAACAGAGATAGAGACACAGAGAGATATATACAGAGTAGAGATAGACAGAGAGAGATAGACAGAGACAGAGAGACAGAGAGAGATAGATAGAGAGAGATAGACAGAGATAGACAGAGAGAGATATAGACAGAGATTGACAGAGAGACAGAGAGAGAGATAGACACAGAGAGATAGAGAGAGAGACAGAGAGACAGAGCGGAAGATACACATATAAGATGTTCTAGCCAAATCTACCCACTTCCGGTTGGCATACTTTTGAAAGAAAGGGAAGGGGGAGATAATCTAACCGAGGCACACAAGGGAAATCACCCTCATTCGCTTTCATCGCCCAGTTTTAAACGTTGACGTCACTTAATTAATCAGGTGACGTAAAATAAATAATTAATAATTTAATCAAGACAAGAGCAGCGCCCGTCCATAACCCACTGAAGCGGTGTTGACAAAGATAAAACAAGTGTAAACGGTCAACTCACCCACATTGTGAAAGGTAACAATCCACTAATCCGCTGGATTACAGAGGATCAACTGCACATGTCAATTCCATTTAAACCGGTCGGATAAACGGTTTTAAAATAAGGCAGGTGTTGAACAGGTATCCACTTTTTTTTTTTTTAAAAACTCGCCGCAAACGTCCGTCTTCGTACACCAGACACTTAGAATGTAATCGTGTCAAATAGCGGAAATCATCCGCATTGCGTAAATCCGCCACATTGCGTTAAAATCCTCACAAAAGGAGCTAATCCAACTGATAGAATAATTTCACATTTTGTCAGATGTTCTGTTTAACACATGTGCTATCTTGCCTTACTTTGAGTAGATTAAGAGTCTACTAAAATAAAATACTAAAGCCGAATATTCCTCACGTTTGTTTCAGAAAGTAGTGAAATGTCAGGATCTCTCATTTCAAACGAATTACCTCCTAAGATTAAAATTATAATTACAATTAAATTTTAACCATCACAGAAGTACGATACGTATTTTAAAATTTCACACAGCCAACGGTTCCTAACCCACACAGCGCATAGTTCCTAACTGACGTAACGAGATAGATTCTAACCGACGCAACGGACAAATTTTAACTGAGAAAACGGATAGACCTTAACCCACACAATCGATAGTTCGAACCCACACAACAGTTCTTCCCCCACACACCAGATAGCTGCTAATGCCACACACACACACACACATACACACACACATACACACACACACACATATACACACACACAAACCGGTGTGAGAAAGAATATCCCAGCGAGCGAGCCAACGTTTGAAAAATGTGTAACCAAAGTTGAAATTATTTTTTTGGCTGCTCCCGCGTTGGCCGGCTCCGCCTTGAGACAACAAGCAGACGGCGGGGGACGTGCAAACAGTGGCGCCCTCACACCAGGGGCTTGGGTCCTGCGCCTTCATGTGTGACCCAAGTTTCTGACCGGTGGATTGTTGCGTTTTGTGTGACCCAAGTTTCTGACCGGTGGATTGTTGGGTTTTGTGTGACCCAAGTTTCTGACCGGTGGATTGTTGGGTTTTGTGTGACCCAAGTTTCTGACCGGTGGATTGTTGGGTTTTGTGTGACCCAAGTTTCTGACCGGTGGATTGTTGGGTTTTGTGTGACCCAAGTTTCTGACCGGTGGATTGTTGGGTTTTGTGTGACCCAAGTTTCTGACCGGTGGATTGTTGGGTTTTGTGTGACCCAAGTTTCTGACCGGTGGATTGTTGGGTTTTGTTTGACCCAAGTTTCTGACCGGTGGATTGTTGGGTTTTGTTTGACCCAAGTTTCTGACCGGTGGATTGTTGGGTTTTGTTTGACCCAAGTTTCTGACCGGTGGATTGTTGGGTTTTGTTTGACCCAAGTTTCTGACCGGTGGAGAGTTGGGTTTTGTTTGACCCAAGTT